CCCAGCCCCAGCCCCAGCCCAGCCCCAGCCCCCAGCCCCAGCCCCAGCCCCAGCCCCAGCCCCAGCCCCAGCCCCAGCCCCAGCCCCAGCCCCAGCCCCAGCCCCAGCCCCACCCCCCAGCCCCAGCCGGTTACGGAGCGTGACATCACGGTGCAAAACTCTCACCAATGGAGGAATCATGAGGAATCTAAAGGCATCGAGAGTTGTGGCAGAGCGGTTTGCAAAAACTTGCGCATGTTCAAGAATGTACTCGCATCGGGCTTCTATCCAGTGTGTGGCTCGTCGTATCAGAGCCTCGGGGTTTCTCTCCCGCAAGACGGAAGGCTCTTAAAGATTCAGTCTATGAAGAAGACGCGATCGGCTGACATCATCGAGGCATTGGCATTCCTTGTGTGGGCATTTAGAATCTTGACTTCTCAGCCCTCAACCCGAAGTAGACCAAACCCCAAAACCCTAAACCAGAATTAACAAACCACAGATTCCGTACTCCGACGGGCCTGGCCATCTGCCCTCACTGGACCCCAGTCCAGAAAAAGGTCCTATAATCCAGACAGCTACGATTGTTCATCGTGAGAAGCCTAAAAGCCAAACAACTGGCTTGTAACATCATTGCGTTTGGGAAGCCCTGAAGTTCCCATGCTTGTACCGACATCCCACAAAGACGCCCCCTTGCTAAATGCCGTTTTGACACCCGCTGGCTTCCTATGAACCCCTGCTCGGATCCCTAAACGTACTACTCTACGCTCCTGGACCGGAACGATCCCAACACCTCGTTCAGAGTTCTGGCTTGTCTTACAACCCCGAGTCTAACTCTCAGCTAAGTACTACACTCAATGGATGTCAAAGGCCAGGGATCCTTCACGACACAGCAAGTTCCGGGGACCCATGCGTCGCAAATCCGGATAGTGACCCGGAGAGGCCTGTCTGGGGGGCGGGGGGGGGGGGAGATGGGGGGAGGGGGGTAGGGCATTTACAGTAGCTCCGACTGCTCCTGGATACAGTGTGTGAATCTCAAGGGTTATCTGGTCAGGCATGCGTTGACTATTTCGAGCTTCTGATTCCGAACGACCCTAAGGTGCGGGACCAAACGAGAAGGCACCACCAAACCTCAAACCATGAGCCTTGAACCTGCATACTGAAATGACCTGTAAGTGGTACTCCTCGTCGAACTCCGAGGTGTTGTGGCCACTTGGCGACGCAAAACTGTCTATGCTGAGTGCCGTACTTTAAACCACTGAAGACAACTAACTCACCGCGCCTGCGCTCGACAGACTCCGAAACGAAACGCAAACTTAAGATGCCTCGAGACAATATATGGTTACAGCAAGACTACGAGCCGGCAACTAGACCAGCTTAAGAAAGCCACAAACGTGCACCCTCGATCGTTGATTCCTGAGCTCCTGTAGACCTTCAACCCCCAAACGCTACAGCCGTAAGCCCTAAAATATTGAACCTTACTTCGAGGCGGCACTGTGCGCAACCTGGCATCCCTTCAAAGCCATTATAAACAAGCCTTGACACCCTCGTTGCCCGCGCATCTTGCCTTGTGGGTCTGCCCATCTGGACAGCACCAGCTGAAAGTGGGCCTGATCCAATGCCGAAGCGCATGTTACCTTAAGCTTGAGGTTTCGGGCTACTGAATGAGGGAAAGTAGGCCACTGTTTTGGTATCTGGGCTCCTATGTAGGGCAACATGACGTAACATCCCGGGTGTGTCGGCGATGAGAATCTCCGACCCAATTGATGGAAGTCTTGCAGACAACTCACCGGACAAGTTCAACCCCAAGAAACGACCACAGAAAGCGTACACAATGTGCAAACACTTGTTCAACATTGACCCACGAAGCGCACCCGCCGTGAACTGACTGTCCATGTTCTTGCGGTTTTGGGCCCCGGGACGTTGACAGCTTGACCACTCGGGAAGGCAAAGTTCAGCTTGGGCTCAAGCTTGGAAGCTTATTCAGGTGGCGAGGCGTTGTGATTGAATTCGTTGGGCTTGCAGGCACTGCCTCTCTGGGCACCAAACCCCAGCCCGAAGCATGTTTGAACACGGACATTGCCTCGGCCAAGCCGGCGAGAAGGAGGTCGTCCCAAAAGGTAACCCTGCCCAGGAAGTAAGGCTTGCTTGCTTGCGAGTTCCATGACTGATACGGGACTGCTTCAGCTGCTTGGGAGTTCTCGCCTCAGAACCCGGAACCCGAAAGAAACCCGTGCTTAGCCCGAAGTTGCGGCGATACTTGTACTTGATTACCGTCTAATAGGAGGTTCCTTGCAAAAACGACAGCCCCAACCACATCCTGCAAGTCAATGGTCCCAGGCACAATAGTTTCCAGAATGGCTTCAATGAAACAGGTGGACATCGAAACAAACCTAACAATCCAACTGTCAACTACCAGAGGTGCTGAGAAGAGGGGCTGTAGGGCTTCAGTTGGATCCAAGGGTTTCGGGTTCACCCTTACTTACAAAAGGACCAAAGGACCAAAGCAGCCGAAGCCTGAACTAAGGCCTCGCAACCGTGGCCCCTTTGCTCTTGAGCATCAAGGCTGCCACAAGGGTTTGAAGGGCGCCAACTCAAGACACGCAAACATCCAAAAACCCGACAACACTCATTCATCCCGAATTGCTAAATCCCATATGTTAGACCCAGGCGAAAAGAACAACAACAGCAACCACCCGGCCTGCTCCACAGCGGGTGGTCGTAGATGCGCAGGAGGACGTCGTCTCTCGGCTCCTGCAGTGGGTGCTCGCCCTTTGGCTTTCGGATTGTCTTCCTGAGCTATGCATGAGGCTGTGGGTTGCAACTCGAGATGCATTTTCTGAGGGCTCGGCGCACGACAAAACTGCTTGAAACACGCCAGAGATGCAAACCCTAAATCCTAAAGTAGACAAGCCCCAAGCCCGCAATCTGATCGGTGAGGGATCGACACTCTGGCGCTCTTTCCGGCTGGAGATCGGAACTGTGCGTCCCAGCACTTCATGGCAAAATGTGTGATCTTCTGCTGAAGAACCTTTCAGATACCTTACCAAGGGCATACAAAATCCTCTTCTGTTAGGTTCCCAAATAAACAGAGAGCCTTGTAAACCCTGGCACGGAAGCCAATTGCAATACAGCCCGCGGCGGTTTGCACGGCAGACAAGCTTTTCATGCGAGATTTTAGTAGAGTTGCTCTCCCATGAATTCTGCAGTCAAGCATTCAAACAAATTCGCATTGTTTGGGCCTGCCTTTCGAGCTTTGGAGTCTACTAAAGAATCGACTTAGGGCCGGGGGTTGTTAAGGCTGATTAGGCAAGGAACGATTAATCTTGCGGTGAGGCATCTTGAAAGAAACTCTGCCGGATGCTGAATGACGGCACCTCTGTGTCGTCTGCGCTGCTGGAACGAAGCTGAATGAACTTCGACAGCACCTGATGCAGTGGGATCGGCGGTTTCGGCCTTAACATTTTGGGACTTCGGATGCCGGTTCGGCTGATCATGGCCCAACGTTTTTGAAAGGTTCCAAGCAGATGCATTCGGGATTTCGGGCTCAGTTGTACAGAATTCAACTCAGCTTGTAGAGAACCTGTCGAAGTCTAGGACGATAGTTGCGGTAGGCTGAGCGATTCGCCAGCAAGTCGCGCCCGTTCCACACATCGCACTCTGCGTCGGCACCATCTGTGGCAGCCTGAAAGAATTGCTTCGAAGGGCTTGAGCTTTTGGCTTTCCGGCTCTTCGAGACTGATACTGATGCTGATTACCGTGATAGTGACTGTGCTGCAGGTGGTGATAGAGATAATGATAATTAGCGAAATGACAATGCAAACGATTAAGATCTCCATTCCTTCATTCGTTTCCCTCGCCCTGCACTGAAACCAAATTTCCGACCCCAAGCCCTGATGTCAGGGCTGTCCGGCCCATAAAATCTCCAACCCTGAACCTAATATTCAGACCCTCAAACTCCAGAACAACCCAGAAACCGGCCTTGAAGAGGGCCGTCGCCAGGTCAAAAGCTTCCAGACACAGCACGGCCGCGGAGGGCCTGGGTGGAGGTCTCAGGCTTTCCTTTAGGGTCTCAGGGTTTAGGGGCTTAGGGCTTTGAGTTCAGGGTTTAGGGCAGGGTTTGTCGGGCCTATACAATTTATCTGACAGGGTTGAGGGCTCAGGGTTCGGGCTAGCTTCGGTTTAGATTTTGTGGGGTTATGCTACGCATCCACAAGCCATCACAAGCCAGTGGACGGACGTTCAAGACACCTAGTTCCGCAGTCTGGAGCCTGAACCGAAGCATCCTGCATCGGGGCTTCCGGTGTAAGGCCAGGAAAAGATTGAATTTCTGGGTATACTGCCAGCTGTGGGACGTGAAGAGACAATCCCCCGGCGGCCTAGACCTGCAGAAGTTCTTGACTCCGACAGCATCCAACAAGGGAGCCCAAATTCAAAGAGACAGCCTCCATAAAAACTTCAGCTGCTAAACTGCGAACCCCTAAACCCAAACACAGACCCCATCGTGGTTTCACCATGCCAGGTTCCTCCCTGGTGATGTTCATATTCAGCTTTTTGGTCCAGTTGATGCCGAGGAGCTCGTCTGCTCTCGAATTCTGCGAGAGTTTCGGGTTCAGGGTGGACTCGGGCCTGGAATTTAGGGTTTGGGGGTGCTGTCAGCAACTGTCCGTATTTAGTCGACTAGTTGCTTGGCCTTACTTCTTCTGTTGCGCCTCTCCTGCAAATGCAAGACACCAAGAACGTTTGCAAGGCTGTGAGAGACCCATACGAGCCCAACAAAGACTTGCACGTGTCTGTTTGTAGGCATGTACTTGTGAAACTATCCCATTATTCAAATTTGTTCACGGCTCAGTTCTATCCTCACCCGTGATATTATTGAGACATGTACGAAGCACGGCAAGCACATATGAATATCGATCTTGGACCCCATGTTAAGGACATGATCCCTCCCTGCAAGTTGGCACTTAAAATCAAACCTCAAAAACTTCAGCCTAAACCACACTGTAAAGCCTGTAAAGCCCAAGGCGCTGAGACATATACATTCTTGACCCGAGGCTTTAAAGAATCAGCTTTATAGCTACGAAAAGATCCTGGAGAAGCAGAGATGGCCAGTCCGAGCGCTGGGCGGCTCGCCGTGAACATCGGCCTCACAAGGAGTTGCTTCATCGCTATGGACGTGGTTTAGGTCTTGCGTTTTTTCAGCTGTCGAGCCGAAGGCATTAATTCAAGGGGAATGGGTAACATCTGCACATTCGACAAAATCACTCCCAAACCGAAGCAAACTGCCCAACATTATCAGAAACCAGAACAGCGTTTCGACTCGTTGTGTAAAGGCCACCACCAATGCCGAAACTCCGAAATCCGACGGACGCCCCCAACGCTATGTTCACCATAAGCGACTCTTCAACTGCTGAGCAAATCAACAGAACCACTCGCAAGACCACTACAAATGAAGCAATGAAGTCTGGACAAGTGACTTGGAAACCCCGTATGAACCTGCTGTAAGACCCTCAGGCACTAACAGCCAACAACCGCTGAGCGCCTTACAAAAACCCCAAAACTCTTCGCAGATCCTATAGCTGCCTTAAGGCTGCCTCTTGCTGCAACCCTTTACAGCCAACAAAAAAACCATACAACCCTTGAAGCCCAAAATCATAAAACCCTGAAGCCCTGAAACCCTGAACCCTGAAACCCTGAACCCTCAAAAAAACTAAACCCTAAACCGGCTCTAGACCTTCAGAACCCTGCCAGGCCGTCGCTCAGCCCTATATTATATACTTCAAGAGAGTCGGTTCCAATC